AAAGCTTTCTACTATTCGTCGAATTAGCTCCTCGACGGTATTCTTCACTTTGGTGGAACAATACTAATTGTTGCAATTACCGTACTGTCAAAAGGACTAGGAGCCAACTTGGAATATTCATTTCAAACGTAGTAATGTCATTACCGTTTGTATTTGATTCCGCTGCCGCTTTTGTACATATTATTATCCATTTCCAAGTGGGTTTGTGTGAGCGGTGTGTGCTTAAGATTTTGCTTGGAAAATTATACTTAACCCGGTCTTTATTTATGATATTAAACAAGGAGCGCCGGCGATAACCAAAGTTAGCAGTGCGTTTGTCTGGCTGGTCGGTAAACTTTCACGTGGCAATTTATGCGCGCAAACTATATAATATAATATATTTGTGTGTGTGTGTGTGCATAATATATTATTATTATAGTATTGTTCTGTATACATTATTGTGTCTGATCAGGGCTCGGGTTCTCCTGCGAACTGAGCTGTGCATAAAGTGATTCTGAAGTTTAATTTCGGTCTCTCTCGTCGGGGTTTAAGAAATAAATTACACGGACCGCCTTTGAGAATTCTCGACGACAAGTGTGTGTGTGTGTGTGTGTGTGCTGTATCCATTGCGCTACACCCAAAGGCTTTTTTTGTTTAAATAGAATAGCTCATTATTGTCTCTGAAAAAGAGGTTAAGTCACACAACAAATATAAACTTTTGTTTAAGAAACGGAAAATAAGTTTTGGAAGAACACGATAGTAGTTAATAACTTTAATCTTATCGAGTTGAATTTACTCTTTCTGTTTTCAAAGGAAAGGGTCAAGTCATTTTAATAATAATAATATTTTAATACATTAAATACTTTTTAATATTTTTAATAATGTCACGGTATTATAAACAATTTGGAAATGTAACAAAATAAAAACTTATTTAATATACATAACCCTTTTATCACTAAAATAGTTTTGATCCATTCAAAACTATTTAAGTAGGTATAAAAAATGACAAAACTCTTGTTGCACTATTAAATTGTATATTCAAAAAAATTTAAGTTACAAAATACACTAACACGAGAAAAATCCTTAACAAACACTCATTTATTATTCATCGAATAACACTTTGGTGAAACTATAAAGCACAAACGATAGAGTTTTTTCTATGAATTTTTCGGTGTACATAACTCATTTTTCATAAAATATTAACTTAACGCCTTTTTCACGGGCTCCTACAAAGTGCTCGACAAAAACCTAACAAATTCACCTTAGTCGTCTAATTAATGTTTCAAAATGTATGTGATCAGTCTCTGTACATTCAATTATGCATTCCCTCTGTTGTACTAAGCTTGAGATACACTCACCTGGGACCTTCATCTCATATAAGTAACCGTTAGCACTTCAACAGTCGTTTACACATTATCAGGCCTTTGCTCCAATCTAATATCGAGTCTCTCAACTCGTCTACTACTATACAAAGCTTTCTTCAAACTATATTGATTTACGGTAGTATTTATTGCCCTCAGTTTTCCAGCAGTGTTTTAAAAAGTTATGTATAGTGTTTATTAATATTATGGCACCATTGTTAATAACGATTGACTATATTTTCCAATAATGCTATTTTGTAGTATAATAATATAGTATGCGTTTTCTGTAGGTGGAAAAAAAAGAGGGTAAAACTCGGTCTCCCTCATTAAATGTCACGCCGTGACAGGTGCGCCGTCGTTTTATAAATGTTGATTTGATAACATTTTTTTTTTTTTTATAATATCAGTCTGGCTTTGTGTCGCTTGTTGAAAGTGCGCCAACGATAATTAATTACCTAAAAAACATTAGGCCGCGATCAATGCTGTATTAATTTTCCCCGTACAACTTTTATGTGGTGAGGTCGAATATTTTTAAACGCGTTATTTACTCTTTTGGTTTTGAAGAACAAAAAATAAAGTCTCAAAATTTAATCAATACTCAGTTGATTTTAACTCACAAATAACGTTTTTAATTGTAGTTTGTAGCTCTCTGTAGGTAATACATAATCTGTTGGATTGTTATTTATAAACATAATAAAATAATATTATTTCAGTTCAAGAGAGAAAAATAGATCTTGGATAAAAAAAAAAAAGCCGGCAATATTAGTGGTAAGGAATGGCAAACTTTGAATGTAAATTATCGGTAATTAAAGGAAATTTATGTTAAATAGTTTACAAAATACAAATTTAGGTATACACGTTTTAAATTCATAGAATTCTAAGACATATAATCTGGGTCATAGTTAGACAATCATCTTGTCAGATGTGTGTAAAGAATTAAAGCTAAAAACATTTGTGGTTAAACATCCTAATTTCTACATGTTTTTTTATAGCTACAAAGATCAACTCTATAAAAGATAGTACTTTTCTAAAAATATCGAACCAGGACCATTTGTTTAGGCAAACAATATATTTAAAAAAAATATTCAAATTTAAATAAGTATATAAGGATAGCCATTAGGTTCAAGAAGTTCTGTGTAATCTGTTCTTGGCTGATTTTTTTTCTTGTGTCACGAATGTATAAAATTATATTCAATAACACCTCTTAAGGCTTAGTCTCAAGTGTAGTAGTAAAAAAGTTGTGTTTTTAACAAATCGTCGAGTGATGGCGATTTTGCTAATGTTTTCCTGTGCTCTACAAAATTAAAAAAAAAACCAGATATTTTCGTCCACCATATATAATGTTTTTAAATTTTGGGTTTATACGACATATGTATGAGTTCACACTGCAAACAATACGAGTACTGCCGGTAATCCTAGTTCGGATTAATATGACAGTCTGCTGTTGCACCGGTGTTACTGTAGAAACTGCACGTTTTGCGGATAAACGCACATTTTAAAATGTATACAACTAATATACAGGAAATTCAGAATTTTTTATCCGTGTGACATATTTTCCCTAGAAATATATGGCTGTGGAAAATAAAAATGTTTAATACAATTCTTAAATCATTTTTATATTAAAATTAATTATACACTGCTAAATTCCCATGGTGTCGAAGTTGAAATTTGAAAACCTGAAAATTGTTTAGGGAGATTTTTTTTTAATTTTAGCAGATAGTTGACATTTTCAGTTCTTTACGAAATATTCTCTTTTACAATTTTGAAATTATTTAAGTTATTCTATTCTGGCCTGGTGGCACTGCTGAGAGCCTTCCTATTCATACATTATTGTCACTGTATCTTTGTCTTCAGACTTGCTGATTATACATATTTTGTATAGATTGTAAATAAAGAAAATATTTTAATAAAAAAAAAGTCATTTAAGTTGTTATGTTGTTCGATAATTAGACAATGTCAACATTTGATACTTTACTGAAATGTCTGTCGCGTCGACGCTATAATAGTTCATTTTAATGTTTCAATATTAAAAAGCCAATGAAATATTATATAAGTTGTAAATGTCGACAGGGCTTTGACATTTATATGGACATTTTAGAACATTATAAAATTACATTTAAACAAATCGTATGCCGTTTAACTACAATAGTTTCCTTATACATTCACACGATGGGTACTTAAATTAATTGTTAAATCAAAATCATAATTATCAGATTGTCTTGAGAGTACTTTGCCTATTTTATGTCTGCATCTTTCTATTAGTCCTATTTTTCCAATTTGTTTTAGTACGTTTTGGCAAAGACATATTTTTTATTGCGTTTAAAAATGAGTATTTTATATGGGTTTCAACAAGCTCTGCTGTCCGAAATGATTTACCGCTTTAGACCGAACAAGTGGCAAAGCGACGCAGACGTGGGCGTAGCTCTTATCGATCGGGTTGTATGCACTTGCACCGAATGCATTGCCATTGGTTATACGAAATTTGTTATGCGCCGGTAAGAGTAAATAATAACTTACATTACCGTTCAACCGCTTGACAGCCTTTTTTTTTTTTTACCAATATTCGTTAACCAATAAAATAAAATTAATTTCCGATTTTTATTTGTTATTTATGAAACTACTTTAAATAAAAAATATCCGGTGTTAATAAATATCATTAAATGTTTTTTTTTATTTATAAAAAAAATACTTCTATCAATATATCAGATATCATTTAAAATACGTTGATAGAAGGAAACGGCTTAAGAAAAAAAAATACAAACGATAAAATGATGACACAGTATACTATTTACTAACATATTAAATAGGATGATTGTAAAAAATGTTTTAAATGTTGTTGATTTTAATTTATCCGAAATATTTTAGTTTTATACTATTTATTATGTAATATATTAATAATTCATAACTATTAGCGTTAAAATAAAAGGGTAAAAACCCAGTAAAAATATGTAGTTATTCGCCTGAAGTTCAGTGGCTGAAAATTTATTTGTTATTTAATATTTTTCATGTATTGTGTTGGCAATAAAACATTTTATTTTGATAAAAACTAACGTTCATAAAATATTCTTGCTAAAAATATATCCTCGTCACCATTTGAAAGCGTTTTATAATTACTATTATTATTATCAAATTGCAGTAGGTATAAGACTTAGAGGTGTGCCGTGTGATCACAAAAATTTTAATGATATCATTAAACCACCTTCGGTAGTCCTACCAAAATTCTTTTTTGTACTCAATTTAAACGTAAATTGTAGAAATTTATCAAAAGTTTAAATATTTTCTAAAACCATAATTAAAGAGTCAGAATGAGAAAATTTATAAAATTAAAATTAAAAAAAAAGACTGAACAATTCGAATTTCATCCATTTTTTTTCTCATTGTTTTTTATGAACAAATTTTCTTTTGTGCAATATTTCTATTTAGACATTTGATATTAATGTGGCGTTATTTTTTACTTGGCATTAATTGCTGTACTGTAGGTACATGCTAATACTGTATGCTTTTTTTTTTTTTGTAAATCAACATTTGAAAATCCCATCCCCTATACGCCAGGCTTTTTCTCAGAATTATTTTCTATTTCTTATACAAATAACTAATAGTAATCACACGGGTAAATCATTCACTTTGAACTCATGCAAATATTTCCTTTTAATTTTGCAGGTTATTTGCTGACTCGAGTCGAAGGCAAAGTCGGCTCGCCGGAAAAACCTTTGTCCGACTTGGGACTGATCTCATACAGAAGTTACTGGAAGGACGTACTGCTGCAGTATCTGTGCGACCTGGGCGGAAAACAACTGTCCATAAAAGGTATGTAGTATGAAAACATACATTTTTTCCTCTTTGACGTACTTAAGTATTTATATGATTTTATTACGCGCGACAATACTAGGATTTCAGGCAACTCTTACATAATAAATAATATTGTTGCACTAGATTACAAACTAAAATATTGTGGCCGGTGTTTACAAAATGTAGAAAATACTATTTAAACATAATATCTTTGTAGTGTTTCCCCAAAGACGATTTAAACTATGTTCGCTTGAAAAACTACCTAATTGGTTTTCCGATTACAAAAATGTTGGCATTTTATATCAATTAATACGCAAATTAACAAATTCGATTTGTTTTAAATTCTTATTCGTTCTGTTATTAATTTTGCCCGACTTTGTCAACAAGTTATTTTTTGCTCACGTTTGCTTTTGGTCGAGTTGTTTAAGACAAAATTACGGTTAATTTGTTCTTTATTAAAAAAAAATTTACAATTTAAAGGCATGCCAAAATTTGCCCGTTTTCCGGATATAAGGAAGGAAATAGTACACTATGTGGATTTATAGATCACTATAATATCTTTTCGGTATAGGATCAAACGATTGATTTTTTTTTATAAATATCAACCCTTAGGATCTGATGTAGTAGTCAACAATTTATGCTTTATATTTGCAAAAAATAGTGAAATTCTAGTCCAAGAAAGAATGCAGCTTTCCGTTGTAGTTTAATACAATTTCTTAAGTTCCAAAGCGGTTTGTGTCTTTTTGATAAATTATGTGTTAAGAATATCACTATTGTCAATACATAAATTCTAAGTCTTCAAATTGAAATATGTTAATCGCCAAACTTGTATTACTGTGTGTACTTTCTGAGTTCAGAAGAATATTTCAAATGTAATTAATTAGGATTTAATAACACTTACTGTACTTACTCACGGACAAATCGCTAGCAAGTGTAGTGACGATGAATGACAATGAAAATGGAGTTTTTAGGAAGACACTCAGCAGTATCGTTGGACTAGGAAATGTTAATTACTTGTTATACTATTGAAATAGGTCCCTAGGTTCCTTCAAGTCTTCTAGGTATCTTATCAGGAAGAGAGGTTGATTTATTAGAGGATTATTATGAGAGCTTGGGTTAGAATTGAAATGTCAATAATAAGATTCAGCTAATTGGTTCGGTGTAGGTATTCTCAGGTCGCCACTGTGTACATTTGTATTGTGGTGATATAACAAGGAACAACGGTTGATTGAAACTCCTGTAGAGCTGTGTTGGACGCTTTTGCTGCGTCCCAAAGTCGGATGTCTAGGACCAGACTAGACGGGTTATGGATTTTAATATAAGACATATAAGTTTATTGCAAAGATGGTTTGAACTTGAGTCGAGAGTTAACCGCTTTACGTTGACGTTTTCGGTGTGAACATCAAGTGAGTCTTTTGTCCGTTGTAAAGGCGGCCAAGAAGGTACTCGACTGCATTTCAACTCTTGTGGAGTTTGTGTTCCAAACCGGTCTCACGCAAATCTCCCCAAACAGCTGCTTGTTGCGAAATCCTGCACCCGAGATTTGGCCAAATAATCACACCAGAGCCAGGACTTAACGCGGATTTTTGCGCGTGCCTTTGCAGTTGTTTTACGACCGTCGGTCTCTCTCTCCCCTATCCCGACGATCGAACCTCCCCTTTGTCGAAGGGCGTAAAAAACCCTCTGCCGCTGTCGACCTGGGTTTTACACGTGCGCCGCCGACCAGACCGACTGTCGTTAAATGCAAACCGTCGTCGTCGGCCGAGAGGTTTTTACGATTGCATGTTGTATGATTGTAATAAACGCGACCCGGTGTAGTAATACGGCCAGTGGAAAATAATTCCCCACCGTTTCCCCCGGGAACTGACGACATAACCTGGGACAACAGCATGACTCGTGCGAGCACGTGGAACCAGCGTCGAAGGGGCAACGAACTCGGCAACGACCAGGAGGGTGGTGCAAACGGGTTGCGCCATTACAAAATGATCGTGTCCCGGGGTTTTGGGCTGCGAAATTTTTATGCGTACTCGGCCCGGCAACTTTTATGTCTTTTATGTCGAATAATAACATCACGCGAGAGGCAATAGTATAATTTATACAGCATCACGTGCGTCGGGTACAATAACAACCGTTGAAACCCGTTTATGCTCTGGAAGCCGCAGACACAAAGGGTCGCTTTGTCTAGACACACAAGCTAACTAAATCCCAGCTATAACACCTTTGATGTTGTTAACGTCGTCTGTGTCGAAAACAGAGCACTCTTAATAATTAGCAATTGAAATGTATCGGTGGGCGTATCAAAACGGGGTTTTGTAAATTATTCCTAAACGATACAGGAATACCCTCGATCGAATGGATGCGATGTAAGTTTTTGAAGCCTCACTTCGTTTTAACCTGTTGGTTTGATTTGTAGAAGATAAGGCTCGCCCAATCTCTGAGCACCCAAGTGTACGCATACCAAAAATAATTCTGTTCAATGTATTTAAAATTGTTCTTAATGACTTTACCCCGCAATTTTTTTCCCTCGCACCCACGGATTATTCCATCCTGCTTATAGGCCGCGATCGACCAATAAATGTACTTATAAATAGAATACATACTGTCATGGATAATCAGAGTGCAAACTGAACTAAGAGAGGCCACTATGACATGATGACCTGAACGAGGGTGGACTCGTGCAATTAGCCTACAGTACAGTCGTGGTAGGAAGAGGTGATTTTGCCGGACAATTATTTTTTTTTTCGGTCGTCAAGTTGAAAAACCTGGCTAAATCTCGCAGCTTCGTTTGATATATGCCCCGGCCAGACACACGGGGCGGAATGGGAGAAGAGGGGAGGTTTATGGGCGAAACCCGTGTGTAATCCAAACCCTCTCGTTGATGGCGTCTAGACGGTGATTATATGCTCCGACCATTGATCAGAGCCCGTTCGTTTAGCCCCGGGGGCCTGTAGGTATTGGCGTTTTCCCGTTATTGTATTAACCCGCAGTGGCTATACATATGGACCCGGCTACAGTCGGTCCATCCACCGCCTACCCGGCACGGCAGCCTGGGCGAAAATAATAATAATGACCAAACGGGGCAGCATTGCATCCGAACACAAATGCTACAAACGGACGGTGACCCGACCAGCATAGCACACGGCACGAGACCTGGCCAGGGTTTACGAGCATCGACCGCCGTGGTGTACACGTACTTACAGTCCCTGGAGATTGGTTTTTGATTTACGGATACGATCCGTGTGCCGGTTGTGAAACCGTCCCCACGACGGTGACGTCATGAGAAAAGAAAATTTACTATTTCGGTGAGCGCACGAGCCCGCAATAAAGTCACAAGAGTGTCATGCCCGTGTCCGTTTACGACCGGGCACGCTTCAGCGTTGTTAAACGTGCAAAACTTTCAAAACGGGTCTATGCCATGAAAGCTATAAAATATAACGCGTCCTACGGCTGCTTGTGTAAGACCCTAATAAGCGAGGAGGGTCCAAGATTTTCAATGATTATCTCTCTCTCTCAAGGCTTACCACCATTACATCGGTGTTCGATGATGGGCAACGGACACTGGTCGATAGTTTAACTTTACACTATCTCATACAAGAGTTACCTGTAGTTTTTATTAATAGTAATCCAACAATTCCAATCTGAAAAATTAAGAAAAATCGAAAATTTGAACGATCAATAATGCTACATGGCCTAATAGAGTCTATGGACCGTCTATGGAGTCTTCTTATCTATATTAACGGTTTATAAGATATGGTTACTGATAATGAGAAAATCTATTTATAATAACTAATGTTAATAATGATAAGGAGTAGTATCAGTCGATTTTAATTGGTAGCTAATTGTTTTCATCCGACTATTACAGTTCATAAATTGAATTAGAAAATATATTCTTTGTTTAAATTGTGTCGCTCGAAAAGTTTTTATTAATAATTCAAGTTATTATTTTGAAATCATAATTGTCTTAACTTATAATTAGTTAAAACTAAAAAATTATTATGAAATTTAAAAAAAAAGTCTTCGAATGACCGTATAAATCCTGATTTGTTCAAAAATGTCAACATCATATTTATTTTGTCCAAAACAAGCCTTGTTCTTGCACAAAAAATTAACATGCGAGTATTGTGTTTTTTCTATTTGTTTATTTTTAAGCACAGTCGTTCGTCTTGCTATTTAAAGTTTAGACGGTTATAATTGTGGTTTTTAGACAGCACACATACTATTATTATGTAGGGGAGAGGAGAGGTAAACACTCGAGGTGTAACTGGCTTTTTAAAATCCTGATATAGCGGTAGACAATAATGTTATCACTGTGGTCGGGCATTAATACATTGTCTAATCTCGATTTTGTATTATAATTAACAATGCCTGCGGTCGACATACATTATTCGCTCTACCTTATAATCTAAGTTATTTTATCGGTGTTTTCCGGTAATTAAAAAAAGGATAATGCCATGTTATACATCCCGGCTTATAATAATAGCTTGTGTATAATGTGTTTCAGATATGAGTCAAGAGTTGGCCATCAACTCCTACGACATAGTGAGCACTCTACAAGCACTGGGCATGATGAAGTATTGGAAAGGCAAACACATCATACTCAAAAAGCAGGTAAGTTTTGCCGCTGCAGTTTACTTGTCACGAGACGCTCGACAGAGGCGTCTGTTTTAAGGGTTTCTTTAGTGCCCTCTTTTCCAAGGACCATAAAAAACCGTTGTCAAGGAGTCGGATATGTCTGGAAAATTGACCTGTAAATGTAAAATAACTAACCTCTTTCCGACAGACATTTTTAATTACAATTTGTATTAATAATACGACAACGCTATATTCGTTTGGAATTTTTTAGGTAGGTAACTGTCTTTTTTTGTGACAGTTGTAATTTGCATTTTAGTCGAAACCGATTTTAAACTGTTAAATAGGTCCACCGGTGGTGTCCGTCGGGATTTTACCATAAGATTACCATATTCCATACCTAGGGCTACGTTTGTCATTTTGTATTACCCTTTTAATTATAAATTCAAATTTCAATAATCGTAATAATAATTATTATAATTAACGTACATAACGATAACCATAACGCTGGGGTACCTATGTAAATATTATTGTCATACTAAATAATGTCAATAGACATTAGTTTGTGTCCATGGGCTTACAGACACAACGAAGAAAAAGGCTTGAAAAAACACAACCGGTCAGAGGCGTTAACATTTGGCGCGTTGGACGTTAAGTCTAAGTACGGGGTCCCTATAAGAAACGGGTTGAGGGGTTATCCCGTTTCTTATAAACGTTCACCACGCTATGTGTGTGCGTGTGTTGTTATTTTTTTTCTTTTATTAACTAATCCCTCGCTGGGCAAGATTAACGCGGACGGAAATGATATGAGTGCCTGCGCTACCGACTATGATAATATGTCAAGTATTACCTAGTGTAATTAATTCCAGACGTGGATTGTAATACTGTAACCCGATCCGTAAGACTTTTGTGTAAAATATTTTATCGCAGTATAACCGTTGACGACGGCGGAAGTATCTTGTCCCTGTTCCTCTCTTGGCCTCTTTGGTTATCTTTCCTTACCGCTAAGACCCCGGCGACATTAGTGTGCGCCCTTCATGTGATAATATAATAAGGCAGTGTACGTACAACCGTACGTCATATTACACATCATCGCTGTTGTGTTATTATATTTTCTATTGTGTACGGCCAATGTCGTGCACGTGACCATAATGACCACGACCTTTGCTAACGGTAGATTTTTCGCCTTGCACGTAACACACGCACATTACAACAATGCATCATATTATATCAACACCATTTATAATGTAATGTACACAGTACGTGGCTGCCTAAGTCATTGACTGAATGTTGTCAATGACATTCACTTGAAACCAGGTGCATCCGTGTACCTGTGCACGTCACGATAAAAATGGTGGTGAGATAAGAAAAGATGTTGATACGGATAGTAAGAAATAATATGGCGAGACGCGGCTGATGACAACGGATATGATAAGAAAATCTGCCTCTTTGGGTTGAACTATTCGTACCCTACTCGTGTTTTGTTTTACCGCCTTTGTTGCTAATGATTTCTTAACGGACATAACGGTTAGTTTTAAACCTAACATCTGACCCAATGATGCTACATAGTTGTGATAGAGATGGTCCTGATAATAAATGGTCTGATGTATTTTTATTTTTTGTATCAAATGACATTTAATTCCCAACACGCGCCTTGATGTTTTCTTAACCTTGCGTTTTTCTATTAGTTAACTCATCACGTACCGTTCAAAACGCTTTAAATGTATTAACGCTAATTTAAATTTATTCGTCACTCGTTAACCACAATAAAAATTGAATACGCCCCCACATCTGTGAAAAAAAGTCTTGAAACATTTCTCATTTTTTTTTTCTGTCAAAACGGTTTTGTGTTTTAATTTTTATGCGGAACTGAGTTAAGTATTACAAGCGGATTCAAAATTTTCGGGTAATTTTTCAATGAAGTAATTGTGGATGTTTAAAAGAATTTTTTTGTATATTAAATTACATGCAAATAAATTATTTGTATTGTTCGAGTTGTTGAAAATATTAGAGTAGTTTTGAGTGCAACTTTTATAACTCAAATAGTAACATGCAGACCACTTCTTTTTCGGTCGACCTATGAACCTACCTCTATACTTATATACCTACCTCTAAACTCATAAACGGTGGGTGAACTATCCCGACTTGTTTTACTATTGAATTTCCCCCTCCCATATTTTTTTAACATATTTCCTATTTAGTATTATATTTAAATTAAATAGTTATTCGACGAATACTCTATCGTATTTAAATGAAAAAAAAATTATTAGTTGATTTTAAGATAAGTAATAGGTTAGATATCTTTATATTTATAAAATCGATTTGAAAAAAAATACAAGTAAACCTAACATTATTCGAATAATATTATTGTTGGCTTATTTGAATAAAGGCGTATTATTTGATTAATCAAATATATTTTCAATCGAATAATATTGTGTTCGTTAAATTGTCAGTTGTATGAAAAATTATTCCAACTCGGATTTCAGTCTACGTCTCCCCTCGCTTTTACAAAGAAAGTTATCCACATTTTAATGTGTCTTGGGCGGAGTAGTGCTGTCAGTAGATCCCTCCAAAATTCAAGCCGTCCCGTTCGGCGCCTGTAACTAACCGTTTTACTTATGAAATTATATAATACAATTTATATTTATAAATAAAAAGTATATATATAATAAAAAAAACTTTCGGTAAATCAAATGTGTAATTTATGCCAGTAAGTCATTTTATTATTTACTTAAAACCCATATAAGTTGTTTTCAGTCACCGATGTATGCCATGTATCATTAGGGTTTTTTTTTGGACATTTTTTCAATTGTACAGTTATTAAAAAGAAAATAATCACTGTATACCATACATTTGTAAACACTCTGTATACTAACGATTGCGCCTTGTCAAGACTGTGTATTGAACGACTCCGAGCTGTCTTATGTCTTCGAGAAAGTAATTTGAAGTTGATTATCACAGTGTTATTATCGTTAAACAAACAGATTTTCCTTTTGGCGTCGCTCGTATGCAAATATAATTTCCTCTGGACTTAAACTCTCTAACGACCGTCGGCGGCGGGTTCATCGGCAAAGGTCGTTGAAAAATATCCGTATGATGAATCTGCTGTGTGTGTGCGCGCACCAGGTCAATGGCTTTTGGCACATGTGCTATTGTTTTTATCGGTATTTTTAATAGTAATTATGTTTTATCAACTGAAATATTTGCATAATCCACCGGAACAATCTATTTTTGTCTATTAGACACCGCAAGAGATCATACAAATATATACATACCGAACTCGTGATAATGATAATATTATAATACCACTTCGGGTGTACCTTTTATATGTATTCACATATTTATATGACATAGATTTATATTTTTTCACATTTAAACTTACTGCCATTTGGTTTTTTTTATTTTTTACAAGTCGCTATCAAATTACAATTATTACACGAGGTCTGGGAGAAACTCAGTTTTGTATACTGCTTATTATAGATAATAATCATCGGTTGTTTTGGCACGTGTTTGTGTTAAGTTAACTATGTCGTGGACTTTTCAAGCAGATATGGTTTGATATACACGTGCAATGCAAAACCCCTTTTGTAATTTGTATGTTGAAAATTTGTCGGTAATATGCAAATTATTTTTGGGCGCATGCAAAAGGGTGTTGTGCGTTATATTATTTTATGACTACCCTAATACATAAATAAATAATATCTATCGTCGACGGGTTGATTTTTTTTTTTTTTTTGAAGTACTTAAAGCATACTACACCATTAAACGACAAAATATATTTTTTTATGAATTTTATTGCCTAATACATATTCCAAGTGAATGCAAATTAATCGAACGACTGGTTAATCCGTTACAAGCCGAATAAATGATTTAACAGTACAACTTGCCATTTACATATTTATTTATTTTTAAGTTTAGCCATTTTGTGTGCAGCGTCATTGAAACGCTTTTTATGGTTAAAACCAAACCACAACGATTAACCAATAAAATTTCTAAACCACACGCTCTGCTACCCCAGACGGACCAGATGTATTTTAATAAGCCAGCAATTTACTAACTGTAGTATATATTTGTACTTTAATAATATTTTATTGTATTTTATATTAGTGCGTTATTCGATAAATGTTGCCCAGCTCTGTTTATACTTGCACAGCGGTTATTAAGGCATTATGGCGTAGTTAGGTACAATTATTGTGTGCATCGCGTCGTTGCACATGCTTTAACATCGTGGTCCGTCCATTTGGTTTTTGTTATTTTTTTATATACACTTCTACCTTGTATGTTTTCAAGATGATTACAGATTAGCTACCCATTAGCCGAGCACATATAATTACTGTTGTTCTTTTGAGAGGGTAATACACACACTCGCGTGCAGGACTACCTGCCGGCATACCTACGATTTACACGTGTAAAACAATTTGCCTTTCGTGCAAAAGAAATACAAACATGATCGTGTTTGCTTAGCCCTCGGTCCGTCGATAAAACCGTCCGATTAGATGTGTATCAGACTGAAAAATAAATAGGTCATCTTGTTATCCTGTTTATCGTCGCGTTAATTGGCCTCGAAAGTCCACTGAGAGAATGACGGAGAAGAAAGATAGTAGAGGTGGTACACTTAAAAAAAAGTAGGTGGACTTCTTGAACAATGGCAGAGTTATAGTGGCGGACAGAGAAGTGTGCACACATTTGGAGTAATTTAATTAGTAGCGAATTTAAAAACTAAAGTAAAGTTATTCAAGTAAACTAACAGCAGGGTTGTACGAATCATACCCAACTATATTATAACCACACATTAAACTGTGGCTAATACTACTCTTTTGCGGTTCTCTTGGTTCTGGAAATGTATCAATTTCAATTAAGCCTGCCTAGGGCAACTAAACCAAGCGGTGGTGACAATACGGTGAAATATTACTTATTAGTTTTGTTTTTGTTTGACAGGACGTGATTGACGAATATCTGGAAAGGTCAAAGAGACGCGGACCCGAGTACAAAGAAATCGATGGGAAATGTCTTAGGTGGCATCCGCGTTCGGCGCCCGCACCGTCTGGGCCCACGTGAGACGAACTCTGTCCCCGGTAAGTACGATTGCTTGTTTCGAAAACTATTATTTAAAAAAAAAATACAACCCAACCGTTGCCGGCTTCTAACCACATCTAATACAGCCGCCAAGCAATTAGGACTGTTGAAAAATCAAAAGTATGCCCAAAAAATATATATATAGTCTAAGTATTTAACTGCAACTACACTAAGCTAAAACGTACAAACGTTTTTTGACCATGAAATGTTTTTATTTTGTCATTATTATCATAGCCGTTATCAGCTGATTTACCCTTAACAATCTCCGTTCTTATCATTGTCGTATCTTTTATCAGGGATGAGCATACGAAGAATACATTGATACATTGCATACTTGGATACTTATTTTTTTATTGTATATTGTACCTTATCAATATATATATATCTTATTCTATTTAAATTAAACTATATAATCAGCAAAATATATTACCCTTTTTTATGTAATCTGAGAAATTCAATTTTCGTTTCTAAGAAAACGTACAGCCATCACTAGTCTTATTATATTGAAATATTATTTTGTTTCATAATTGAACGACAGTAATAATAATAATGATTGTTAATTCGCTTATTTCGAACAAACTCCCCAGACAACAATTGTAAAAAAAAAACATGCGGTTAGGTTTTCGAAACGTCTATTCCTCGTATACTATTTTAGCAACAATCCTTTTTTGGAAAAATAATTTTTGTCCAGTCATCAGCTAGTAATTAGTACAATTGTACAATTATGAGAAAACCTAATCTTAAAATTCGATCACGTCATACATTTTTAAAAATAATCTCAAAAGCGTGGTGTAGGTCTAAGCTAAAAATGGTCTTAGAAAAAAAAAATTGTTGATACCGTTAAAAAGAGGAGAACTTTACCACCTAACTAGGTTCTCCAGTCGGTTCTTTTAGAAAACTAAAGTTTTTACTCTAAATACAAACACTTAAAAAGTAAAAAAAGTCAGAATTACATTACAAAGTGTGAATGTTTGGTTAATAATATAAAAAAAACCACGAGAGGGAACTTACACAAAGTTCTCATTATTTTAAATATGTAAAAAAAAAACAATTTTCTACTTAGCCAATAGTAGAGAATATTAGCTTAACATTTTTTTTTAACTCTGACAAGGACGTTGTCATAGTCTGAAAAATAAATAAACTTTACTGAAAAATGATTCCTAATTACTGAACTAGTAATAAAACATCACAGTTTGGCCTTTAAATTGAGATTTTGCAAAAAAAAATGTCTTGTACCTAACTCTTTAACAAAATATGGGGGTTGACGTCCTCTCTTAATAACTTTTCTAATCGATAATTAATGTTAAAGAAAATAATCATTACAATACAAATTTGTTTCATGTTTTCCTTTTGATCTTACCGAGACGTATAATTAATATAGTAAATCAATATAGTTGGCCCTTTGAGTGTTATATTATGATATTTTTAATAAAACAGCGAATTAATTCAAATAAAAAACCGTTTCTCTTAAAAAGCCGGAAGTCACGGTTTTTAAAGAAGCAAAAAAAGACAAAGGACAAGGCAAACGCCGTCTTTGACCTATGAAAATAAAAAAAAGCTCCTTGATTTTAAGTTTGTCTGTTTAAAAGATAATTAATATCTCGTACCGGCTAATAACGACGTCTGCAGTACAGGCGAGATACGTACAGAAGACGGATGTCTCTGTCGAATTAATAATAATAATTAAAGTTTAAGTACACAATAACAATGTTGATATAATACAGGGTGATTGCAAAATAACTTTTTATGACAGTTGTGGTATTCTCTTGTAATCACCCTGTATACCGACGGAAGCCGCGGACGGGAGGAGCGACGAAAGCGTTGCGCGTACGCAATAGGGTCGACGGACGGCAGTATAAATAAACGTGTGCGGTGTCCTCCATCATCACCATCATCGCGTGGCCGTGCGGTGCGGCGGTGCATCGCGGCTGCTGCGGCGGCGGCGGAACGATGACGCGCCGACGATGCACCGGGACGCAAATTAACCGGTGCACGCACAAGGGTCCGGCGTGTGGAGTGGCGGCGGCGGCGGCGGCCGATCGATTACGAATCGACACGCGCGGCTGACAAAAGCGCAACATATTTTTTTTCGCAACGTGCTCGGCGGCCTTACACGTGTATATTAATAGAGCGCGGGCGGTCCCTGAACCGCTGGCCGGCCGGCCGCCTCCTCCTCCTCCCGTTGGCTCCTCGCTTGGAGTGAACGGCGACGTGGAGGCGGAAGCGGAGGCACGTCCTTTTTCTTCTTGCCGAGTTTTTTAACCCCGTCCGTCGACCACTGCCGTCGTCCCGTCCACAACGACGGTGGCCACAACGACTTTACTCGCCCGCGATCCCGTCGTGTTATTATTATTATTATTATGATCGTGCGTTGATCCCTCCTCTCCCCCACCCTTCGCGCGTACGAAAACTTTCAAGGCTACGCGCTCGACCAGCTTCCCGCAAGTTTTACGGTCACTGCTCTCTCCGAAAATTTCTGTGTGTGTGTATATATATAGCACACAAACGTTACAGTTTTGATGATGTCTTGTCGTATTACTTACTCATACTTACCTACTGTATACTTGCTCGTGTAATATGATATTATATCCCACGAAAAGCACCACAACAGCCGCGTGTAATGACACAGTTTGGGCGCGTTGGAAGTGTTAAAACTTACCGACCCCCTTTACTCTCTCATGCGTAAGTGCTACTTCCGGAAGAGGCCGGAGGCGTTCAACTGATTTGAATATTTAAAACTCAGAATAATGTAATGGGGCACATGACACAAAAGGGGTGGCAATGGAGAGAGACTCTGGGCTTCCTGAGTTTCTTAAGTTCTTATCAAATCAAAAACATGGTAAATATGGTAATTTGAAAACTTTTTGCGCTAGTAGAACGTCAGGAAAGTATTGTTCTCGGCTTATGTACTATTTGCAAATGATAATGATGTACTAAAAAGTCTTAACTCAACTTAACATTGATCTTACAAATGTTTAACACAAAACAGATAAGTTGAAGAACTAGTTAAAACCCCAAAATGTATGTATCGGCTTTAAATATCATAGAAATTCCCCAAATTAAAATTTATCCAGCTTTTCATCAACCTGATCTCTACTAACATTAGAGACGTACCGAATTAAAGATATGTCTACAAATATTTTGTAACCCGACTTAATTATGATTATTATTTTCAAATCTTAGCGAGTGTGGTGTGGTTTATTTGATTGTGCGATAAAGAATTGCGCTTTCTGGTCGACAGAGATTACTTGTATAATAGTGTAACGATTTTTATTGAAGAAAGTCAAATAAAAAAAAACAAAAAGAACCCATTTAAGTACTCGGTGTTCTACGCAACAACAAAAAAAACTTGGGGTAAAAACATCAATGAAAAAAAACCAATATACATAAAAGATGAAACGAAAACAAAATTAATACCAACGACCTCTTATGTTTGTCCGTCTGCAAAGCTATTGCTCTTTGTCCGTTTTAAGCTAACTACGTTTTATTTAATTTCGTTGTTATATATATTTTAATAAAAATGAACAAAAATAATTATGATCTCTGACAATTTAGTGGACTCGATAACCAATGTAATATTGCGCAGTTCCTGACAGTTCTTTGTCGACGACCAAACGAGATTTTATTCCCCTATATCCGTTTTGATTATTGTACCAAAGTTTAGGGCATTGCATTGTGTTTGAACAAGTTTTTTTTTATATTAACAGTATTATTTTCAAAAAAAAAATTAAATTTGTGTAGAGCCAATGTGTGTAACATATATTTCTATTTAAAAATTAACAGTTTCCTTGTTTTCATAAAGCGGCCTCTCTACACTTTACTCTGTCCAAGGCCGACACTGCCTACGCTATTTTTGTTTCACTGTTGTAATTATCGATAAATAAATTTAGTGTCAAGACGTGCGCAAAACTACAACGTGAAAAAAAAAAGTAGTACTTATCTCTGTTTAAAGTCAAGCCCATAAAAAAAAAAAAGCAATAGATCAGACAGGGGGTAAATTTTGGCAACCGCCGACTTTGTTGGGAATTCAATTAAACATTATTAATCACTCGTTTGGTCTTAAGCTATAAACGATCCGAGTTCAAGTCGTTGACTCGTTTAAGGGCAAGTGAACGGAGCGAGCTAATGACAGCATCACGTCCGAGCATACTTAATTAACATGATAAAGGATGACTTCTAAGAAGTAATATTAACTTTTGAAAAAAACCACCATGACCCTGCAAATGAGAGCAGTGAATTTCCAAATTCAAACGTATTTCGTTGTTGGTTAATTATATATTTGATCAAATGACAAAACTTAAGCTTAACCTGCCTATACTATGCATTGAGCAGCACTCGAGTCCTGGTCTTGGTCGTGCTCTCTTATCCACTTAAGGACTCTGTAAAACTCAGAACTATCCAGTATAATAATATAGTGACAGAGAGAGAGAACCTAGTGTCTTGTAGCCGACTTGCCGAGGAGTCGTTGGTCGGCGACGATCAATGAAGAGATTTGAAATGAAACGACAACAACTGGGTCGAAACGACGCCATAAGTCTTTAACGGTTCACAATACCTTTATTTTTTTTCTAAAAAAAAAAATTCCACCTTGATCTCCGTCAAATTCACACTCTCAGTACAGATTAGCAATCTTATTGTCAGCCGCCACAATCTTAACCGTCATCGCGAAAACGCCTTCTATTATTTCCCCCAAGTGCTTGTATATAAAAAAAATTCATAAATTTTTTACACCTATTTTCCAAGATCATTATTATAATACAATAATAGCTGTACCAGCCGACCGGGATCTACACAAAATTGCAATCTACAATTTGTATGCAACTGTGTCGGATCATACTCTTTCTGGGTCGTGGCACAATTCAAATGGTAAAAATAGTATCTTCTAATCTTATTAGGTATACACCGCGACAGAACATTTTTTTACAGGCCTTACCCTAAATTTCCTCAGACGGTTTGACCCATTTCTAAGCTAAACAAACCGTACAAATCGAATGGGGGTAGGTTTTATAACTCATATCTTACCAACACTCGACAATTGTCAAACCGCCCTCTTAATACTCGCCCTATCTATGAACTTGAATTGTAAAGGTATATTACAGTGCTAATTACCAAGTGGCCTGATTTCTTGTGTATACGAGGTGATTGTTTATTTATAAGTCGATAAACTTGTGGAAAATACCGAATTTGTTTTATAATATTGAAAAATAACACAAAACCAAACTGTTTTCAAAAAGATTGACTACAAAATTGTAATTGTTATTTCAAAAGAAGTTTATTGTCTGATCCTTAACGAATGTTTTTTTTGTGTACAATCGAAATACTGTAAAATACATTTAATTAATAAAATAAACACTGTAATGTGTTCACTTAAACGTTCGGTTGTATGCTAATTAATTTCAATCAAAAACTCAAGACTGTTGGTTTCTCTGAAAACGTCGACTGGTCAAAAACAAATCTTGTGTAAAATTACTGTCCGACAAAAAACCAACGACGCGGCCTGACCTAAGATTTATTTTTTTCTATTTTCCAGGACTTTGTCGACCGGAGATTCGTCTCCCAGGGTCAGCAGACGGCCGAGGAGACAGAAACAAGTGATCCGATAAAGGAGACACACGGCGGTACTATAAAAATACAAACAATAGGTGTGTATAATAATAATTATGGACCAGACAGATTATATTTATAAAATATATATATATGTATTTATTTATGTAGGTCTTTTAATACTTGTATATGTATGTTTACAGTTATAAATTATATATATATATATATATATATATACATAATTATCATCGTACAGTTGGCGGTAATTGTATCCTTAAGCTCTTTGCTACCTACCCTCGAAATAAGAAACTAAGTTAATCGACGGCACAAATATTATTTTACTTTTTTTTTTTTGTCAGCTCTTCTTTTTGCCACATGATTGCGCAACGGCCTTTTTTTTCTCGGCCTCGACCGTTTGTACATATATATATATAAAATTTATAATATCATATATTTCGTGTGCTTGCCCTTCGCACGTGGTGGTTGTACGATGAACCCGCGGCGTGTCATCCACCTCTCGCCGTATATGTATTCTTCTATCCAGTTTAGAGCGTCAGTCGGCCTCGGTGAGAGAGAGAGAGAGAGAGAGAGAGAGAGAGAGAAAAAGCCCGAAATAATATTATTTATGTATATATATATATATAATATATATACTTTCATACTTTCTGTGGGCGGCCTCGGTGGAGGTTAAATTTTATCCAAGGTCCTTCGCCTACCCCTCGACCTACCCCTTTACCCCCTTGCGTCCACCCTCTTCCCGTTTTGTATCCCGTGCGCGCCTCTCATCCGACCGAAAATACATCAACGTCGTCGTCGACTGTACAACAATATAATAATGGCAATACCGAAAAAAAAAAAAAAGAAAAAAAACATTTAAAAAAACCAAATTTCATTAAAGCAATAATAAAAAAAAATTACCATATTCCGGCACGTGTGCAACGGTTATACTTGTATTGAATTAAATTATATATTTTTATATTTATAAAATAACAATATGTTATTCGCACGTATTGTAAAAATATACACGGCTTGAGAGTAGGTATAGAATTAGGCGTAGTATCAAGTATAAATAATATTATATTATAGTATTTATAGTATATATATATATATATATATATACATACCCGGTGATTGTTTTTAACGCCCCACGCAAGTTTACTCTTAAAGCGATTGCAATTTTCTAGCGTTTCTTTTTGGAAACATATTCAATTCATGTTATAGCAAAACGTTAGACGGTGTACGAATTTTTCAAATCATATTTTAGTATTTGCTAGAAGAGCTCTACCGACTTTTGAAACTCAAATGGCCACGTATTCAAATAATCGAGAATATTTACCGAACAATTTTGACCTGTCGACATTTTCAATGCAAGTTGTTCTTATAATTTAGAAACTTAATAAAATATGCACGGTACCGTTTTACTGTTGATAAAGCTCTAGAATTATAGCAAAAAAAAAAAAAGATGACAATTTCAATTTTATCTCATATAGCATAAACAAAAATGTTTAAAAAAAAAAACGCTAGAAAATCGCAATTTGTCTTAAGAGTAAACAGCTAGTGTAGTGCGTTAAAAGAATCACCCTGTACATAGTAATAAGATATTTTTTTGGTCCAATTATATATTTATTTTAATAAGAATTGTTCCCACCGACGAGAAAAAAAACGTTTGCTCACCGTAAGATGTTAATATTTTTTAATAATTATATATATATTTATATTTTTTACATATTTTGTATACTATATTATATATGTATCGTTAACGATTCGATTTGCAAGAAAAAGGATAAATATAGAATAGTATGTGTTTTTTATATATTTAAATATTTTTATCTTGAAATAATTTGAGAATTTGTACTTGGTTTTCAGAGTTTGTTTTGAAGGTCAAGTTAAATGTCTTTGGTTAGGCGTTTGTTGTTTTTGTTTTGTTTATTGACTAAAATTTATTTTATTTTTTTATCAGGTAACGCGCGGAAAATGTATATTTTTTTGTAAAAGCTCAATTATTATAGTTTTTGTTTTCTGTTGTTATTGTAAAATGTTCGGTCGGCGTTTTGTCGACTGTCGACTGTGTGTTGGTGTTACTTTTTTCCAATCTGTTTAAAATTAAAAAAATGTGTAAGCAATTCGGTTTATTATTATTATTATTATATAATATTTTGTAATACTACCTTTTTATGAGAAACGTTTTGTTTTTCACATTTTGTTATGATTATTATTATTAATTTGGTAATTTATTGTAATTATTTTTATATTTTTATCGTTATCATTATCTTTCAATAATATCCACTTATGTGTAACGACTTGTAAATACAAAAGTATAGTAAACTATAATAGTAATATGATTATGTGGTTTTTTTTCTTGTTTGTCGATAAAGTTATTTATATTATTATTTATTTGTTTATTTTTCACCTGACCTTACCTCGTTACCATTCCTGTCCGGCCTAACCGCTCCAACTTGTGCAATTTGAAAAGTAAATAAGTGTACTCAAGTTACAAATATAGTATCTCAGATTATTTCATACTTTTTTAAATAAACTTAATAAATACGATTTGAAAAAATAAAGACGATTACATTTATGAACTTTTTGTTGTATAAATATACTTATTTATTTTTAATTATTTTAATACTTACATTTTATCTACTAACAAAAGTTATATCAAGTACTTCAAACAAATAGACAACAATAATAATACTAATTATAATTCGATATCCGTAAGTTATAAATAATTAGATTCATAGTAATAATAGCAAGTAATGACTGATTTAAAATAAATAACGAACACATTTGTATACACCTAACCGAAACACGAAATAAGTTGGAACAAAAACATGCAACGATATTTGAAAACATTTTTCAACTTTTGAATTAGCAACATGTTTCAACTGAAAAAATTCCCATATGTTGCTCTAGTGTAGACCAGGCTTTTCTCTACTGCACTCCACCTCCCATCCTAAACTATAAACTTAAGCAACTTTAAAAGTAAATATCCTGGTTGTCGACCAGTCAAAATGTTCAGCAAATTATTCTTAATAAAATTGCCATCATAAATTTAATAAAATTAATGTAACTAAAAAATTAAAAAATAGTTTAAAAAAAAAAGGAAAATGGTCAAGTGCAATAAAAAAAACTTAGTGCTTAAGCAAAAATGAGTATAAATTAATTAAAAAAAAAAAAAATCTTAAAAATATTCACTATAGAACAAAAGTTATTTCATTGGTTGTTTTATCTTCGTGGGACACTCTGTACATCCCAAAACCGACTTGTACACCCTTTCTCGCCAAAATCGTCCGAAATCCACCAAACGTACATTAGGCTAATCGGGTTTGAAATAGAATACAATTAGAAATGTCTGTCTTAAGTAATATTATTCGGTATTGAAGCAACATTATCAACGTACCGGCGCATTCTTTATTACCGCCCGAACGTCTGGAAACGGTTTTGTTCAACAGACGAGGCCGCCAATTTTCGGCACAGTCCGAATGTGAGATATAAATTTTGGTTTTTTTTGTTTGTGTTTCTAACCTCTCGAAAATTACACACTACACCGGTCGTAAAAAACGTGCGAGACGAAAAACAAGGCCTATACCTACGAGAAAACGCTTACCTGCCCCGTGAAGTGAACCCCCCCCCCCCGGCTTAAGTCGTAAAAATTCAGCCGACCCAATCGATACCGGACAAAATTGCACCTCCCCGACCCCGCTGTAAACCGAATCGGAGAGAGAGAAGAAGCGGTCTGGTGCCGGTTTTCATTACACCGACCGTGCACAGTAATAAAGACGATGATGATGAATGATGATGATGATAATATAATAACTGGCAGGCGCTCTCGTTGCATACAGCTGCACTTTTATAGGGGGGGCTGAGCTATAGGTGGTATAACAAACAAAAAAAAAAAACATATAATCCACCCCGCGCCCGCCGTTTCAAAAACGACTGCCCAAGACAACGAATAGTATCTGTTAATATGAAGAAGAAAAAAATATGTCTCAGTTTTTAATAGTATAATATCAAGTAACGTTAAAAGTGGTTGACTTGCTTTCGTTAAGCACAGTCCATAATATATTGTTGCCCAAAACTTGATTACTTGAAAACAATTTTTAGTACTTTTCAATCAATCATTAAGCACAGATAAAATTGTAATTTTTCCCATAGAAATTACTGTGATAGTTTTAAAGTTTTGCAAACAATTTCCTTACTTTATAAATAGGGGCGGATAGCATCTTCTCAGGTTGTAAGACTAGTGTTGTAAGACAACGGTTAAAAATTCGGTTAAGTTAAGTTGCTCCTCGTCAGCAATTTATTTTAAGTAGTTCTGTCGTTACACGGTTTGCGTCGAGTTTTTTTTATTATTTTTTGTTTGAGTGTACTTTTCCTGGCCAACAAAAGCGCTATGAGAGATGTACATACAAACACTCGACCGGGATTGGCTCTTAAACTTAATGAAAATCAATCGGTCCACGGATAATAAACGGAAAGGCAAGACACGTCTTGTCACTTGTGTATACCGTTTTAGATTACCAGACAACAAATACACTTGCAGCTGACGCCACAAAACATTGCTATTGAGTTTCATATAGATATAGTTGTAGCCAAAATGGTTTGGAGACAACTACAATCGTCGAGTTGGTGCTGTACAATATCAGCTGGATATTATTGGAATGAAAAAATAGGTAATCTATTATTCGAACAAACCAGTTGGTAAAATGATAAAGGTTATTTAAAAATTATTCAAACATTTTCCCATCAATTTTGTTTAGAAATATTACTCTAATAAAATATTATCTTATCACTTCTACTGTTTGTAAATCTTTTATTTCTATTTGTTTCGGTCGTTATTAGTTTTTTTTTTTAATTAAATTTTGTCCAAATCTGTATTCAGTACATTATACTGAACATGTTACACGTGTCCAAAGCACACCGTTGAAACTTTGTACATTGAACAACTTCCATTCCGTTTCTTCATTATCAAGTAAAAGAAGACAGGCGATAATACAAACGGTATGCAATGAATTCTTTCGCACACATTTTTCCTTTAGGTGACTTAGGTGACTACAAGCATCTTGACATTGTGATTTCTCAACACTTGTGTTAGGTGTCTAAAGTGATCAATGATCTTTTACTAAATTTTTTCGCGGAAGTAAACGTTTTTTTTTTTTTAAGGCGTTAAGATCTATTCTATTGTTGGAAAAAGTTTTAACTTTCATATACCAACTCAAACCCGCTTTTGTGAAAGCGTCCCAAAAAGGAATAATTGTCGCGTTTCCCTTTCGGTCGAACGGCAATTATTTTGTTTGAGTTTTTTTAATTAAGCAAATATAAAGCTATTATAATAAAAACGGACCGAAGCCCAAATTTCACGGAAAACGTTTCAACGGCAATATAATTCCAACGGTAATTCTATATTATTTTTTTATTCTTATCTTAATAACGTCGCCTGCGATACAACTGCGTTATCTTTATAATATTGTGTTGTCCCGGGGCTGGAAAGAACTTGAATTCGAAATTACATTATCGCTGCTCGTCCGGAGACTTTGGGGAATTCCGCGTCTCGTGCTGGGTACACAAGGATTGAAGGAATTTCAATATCATGTCTTACCCTCCCCCTCCCCCTCCCCCCCCCCAAGACGTCGCGCTCGTTATTGTTTCACCGTTATTACTGCGAAACGCATCAGCAATCGTGGCATGTCTTTGATTATCATCACGGTCATGAACCATCCCCGAGACTTATTAACTTGAATTCCACAACCCCCGTCGAGTAAGTCCGAAATTGCAGCAGCTCTGTGTATACAAGTTATACATGCAAGTTTTATCATCGACTTTATTTGTACACACAGTTTTATTTCTTTCCAACAACTTGACCCGAAAAAATTGTTTACCTCTCACACGGCAAAGGGCTAAGGGTGTTTTTTTTTTTTTTTTGGGTTTTACACTACTATTCGGTAAGGGTTTGTGTGAAAAATTCTAAAGGCACTCCAAAGAAACCGTATTGTACACTACTGTTGTCTTAAACGTCTATATTGTTTACAATGTTTCTTTAGAATTTTTATAATATTGTTATTACACGGGACGTTATGTAAAATAATTTCACACGACTCTGTTTACACTCGGCCAAACGAAAATCAATGGCTATTATATTTTTATAAAACGGATAGAATACCTTTAGTTTGTTGTCTACTTCCTGGCAACACCTTAAAACAACGTTCGGTGCTTATTTAAATTTTTTCAACGTGCTATGCCATAATGGCATGTTATTGAACCTCGTTGAAAACAATTGTGTTCTTTAATTAAACATAAAACCAATCTGGTAGTAGGCAATTCACGCATTCAGCTTGGTCAGACCTGTGTGATTTAATATTACAAGGATTTCACTAGTGTGGAGGGTAGCACAATTATTTGTTTTGTCTGTTTGTTAATTGGGCTAGGTGAATTCTGTACTTGGACATAACCGTGTGTTTAAACAAAAAATTGAAAACATTAGAGGTCAGGGTTTGTGGTTGATTTTTAAAATAAATAGTCGTATACTTTGGCATCAAAAAAAATATGTGATCGTTTAGTCAAAGGAATGACATTTGCATTTTCTTTAAATATATACCACTCGAATTTCAATTGCTTTTCCAGTTCTCTTTGTTCTCTGCCAGTAGGCGTTTCGACTCAAGTCGTTAGATGCATCTAATTAATATTCACCAAGTTTTCTGCAACTATTGGCGAGGTCTTAATGACAGCTGTTTAACGTACAAACCGCATTAGGAGATTTATAAGTACACAATATGTTTGTGTCGAAGCAGACAATATAAGTACAAAAAAAAAGGATAGGTTGAACATTTCAAAATGTCTTCTAATGTATTGACTGGGTCACGGTAACCGATTACCCTGTAGTTATTATAATTAATGTACCCACACCAGGCCGTTATCCGCGTCCGAAGCGATAATAATATTACTAATTAATACCTATTTGACAGGTGACACTATTGTATGGAATGCGTCCTGGTTGAGAATGTTTCATGATATGTTCCTAGGCCTCATTAGTCGACCCGTGATTATATTGTTTCGGTTTTATTTATGTCGGGTTACTAAGAGGATTTGTATATAATCAGCATGAATGAAACGCCGCAGATTTGCCTTGGCAAACAAGCAGAGAAGTTTGACGAAGCATTTCGCAGTTCCCTATGTCCTATTTGTTACTTTTTGAAGGGTCAAAAACCGTTTGGGTTGTTTGAGAATGGTAAATGTTTATGCAATTTCTCAGGATGTATCCCAAACAACAAAAAGGCCGACAGAATGTGGTGAAACCTG